GGGGGGGGGGGGAGACACTGGCAGGGTGCCTGGAATGGGCAAGGACAAAGGCTGCGAGGTAATCTAGCTGGAGCAGGAGCTTGTGCTCAACTGTGGGCACTAGCGGAGCCTGGACAGAGGCTGGGACTTGGGTTGGGCCCGTGGGCGATGAGGATACGCTTTGATCCCTCTCTTGATATGAAGACCTGGTGGCTTGCTGGGGACCCCTGCTGCCCTCCTCTCCTCTCCCAGCACAGCCCTGTCTTGCCCTCCCCAGCCCCTCTCCTAGGAAAGTGGAAGCTGGATGTTGAGTAGAGCCAGTGACACAAGTTCCATACATACGCTGCTGCAAAAACTGATTAGGGCTCCAAGGCAGGGGGTTTGCTTGGCTGGATATTTACCCTGGCGCTTTCATATGAACTGACCAAGAGGAGATATTTTGGATTCTTTTAAAACCTCTCCTCGAGAGGACTAACCTAGAGATAATTCATTGATCACCAATCACAACTGTTACCCCAAAGCCACATCTATCTAGATCCTTCCCCTCAGACCACAGATGGCTTCAGGGAGTCCCACCTCCTGGTAATGGAAACCTCACATGCTCAGCCCTGGTCTCAGAGAAGCATGGACTCCGCTCTGGACCTTGTGAAGAGATGCTTTCCACTCGCACTCCAGGCGGCTTAAACGGCCTGGGAAGCCTCAGTGGATTTTCATTCAGTTCATTTCCAACATTTTCATGTATGTTTAACTCTGCATTGGGGTGGCAGTAGGCGTGTTTAAAGTGCCAGGGGAGGTAGGCAGCAGAGTGGATTTGGGCAAAGGAGAAGCCATGGGATTGGAAGGCAGTAAAATGGCCTTGGGTGTAATAGTCAACTGGTCTCTCCCAAGAACAGCTGGCATGGGATGCCATACAGGGCAAGTGTTGCCTTGCCTCTTACTCATCAAGGAGGGCAGAGCTGGGTCAAAGGCAGTGGGCAGGAGGGAGGGAGAAGCCCTGTGGACTTCAGGGTCAGAAGTCAGCACAGGAACCCCAGGGGGCGAGAGAGGAGCCCGAGAGCAGGATGGATGGAACAGCACTGAGTGAGGTCCCAAGGGGGCCACAGCCACAAGGAGGGAGTGGCAGCGACACGGGGTCCCTCCCCTTGCCTGCTCCAGGTGCTCCAGCCAGGCCCCTCCCCTCCCAACACAGAGCCCAGGAATCCCAGAGCAGTGAAGCATCGGTGGGTGTGGGGCTCAGGGTCTCAGCAGGAGGCGTGTTCCCGGCCACTTGAGCCACAGGAAAGGGAGCAGGCGCCGGGTGAAGGTGGCAGTGAAGGTGTAGATGAGTTCTTGCGACTCCGCGTTGGTGAAAGTCACGGTGCCCCCTTCGTAATCCAGGGCGATGCCCACTCTCCGGGGCCGCAGTGCCGGGAAGAGCTCGGCCTCGGGGCTGGTGTTGGCCCAGATGCCTGCGGACGAGAGGCGCAGCGCCCACACGCCGTCCTCCGGCCGCAGGGAGAGGTCGCCCTTCCTCTTCACCGAGTCTCTGGCCACCCCCACCATGCAGCTTTCCAGAACTTCCTCCTCCTCCGCCGCCTCCTCTTCTTCCTCTTCATCCCCCAGCGATTCCTCGTCCTCATCCGTTTCCCAGTCATCATATCCGTCCCCGTAGCCGGCCTCCTCTTCCTCCTCCTCCTCTTCCCCCTCTTCCTCCTCGTCCCCCTCCTCTTCATCCTCGGACCAGCCCTCCCTCTCCACCTCCACCTCCCAGTACACCTTGCCCCAGGTGAAGCCCTTACTGCCCAGCACCCCCGGCTCACAGTCAAACCGCTGGGGATGCAGGTACGCTCTCTGGTACAGGCTGCTGTAGGTCACGCACTTCCAGTCCTCCGACAGCTGCAGGTACCCACTGGCCGACTGTGGGTCTAGGGTGACACTCACTGCGGGGACAGAGGGAGAAGTAGCGGTGTCGCCGGCGGACCAGGAGGGGACCCCCCAGTCTCCACAGCAGGGCTGCCACACCGCACGATCCAAGGGGTGCGCTCCACACCTGTGGCAGCGTGAACAAGCCCCTCAGGGGTATGTGATGCGCGGCCTGACTGCAGGGCCAGAGGCAGTACAGCAGCAGAGCCTGGGGCAGAGAGTTCGCTCCAAATACAGGAGCCACATGACAGGGCAGATGAGAAGGAACTCAGTCACAGGGAAAAGGACTGGCGGCAGGACCTCTGAGGACAGAATAACCAAACGTGGGCAGGAAGGGTCAGAGGCTCCAGTGGAGGGCTCTACTGCAGACGAAGGGTAGCAGAATAGTCAGAAAATGCAAGGTGGGGACTTCAGAAGTGCAGCTGGGAAACTCTCCCTGCTGTACAAGAGAACGGGCCACCTGGGGGCAGAAGGATTCTGTGGGGAGAGTATTTATTTGAGGCAAATCTAGGAACAACCCTTTGGATACTCACCTGTCTTATATTCTAAGTCTCTCAGCAGCTTCCCTGGGGAGAAAAAAAGGACAGCAATGACCCTCAAGCCCAGCAAACCTATGAACCTGTTTCTCACTTGGACAGTATTAATTTCATGACAAGGCTCCATCCCTGAGATCCCAAGAAGGGAAAAACAACCAGGAGACCTCAGAGGAATGAGGTCAGAGAATCTGAAACGAAGAAGCCAGGTACTCAAAGCGGCACCCCAGCTCCTGACTCCCACCTCAAGGCCCTCCCCAACCCCTACCTTGGAATTCTCTCAGGCCCCGCTGTAGAGACAGAAGTCTATCTGAGAATTCTCCGGTCCTTTTTTTAACCACACGAGCAATGGGTTTCCCAATCCAGAACTTCTTCCGTGGATACCTGAGAAGATGACAGACAAACCTGCCACTTAGCACTTCCTACATTTCTCTCAATCCTCATGACAATTTATGAAGAGGGAGGGAAAGGTATGATTATCCCCAGGTAATGGAAAAACAGGGCCTCAGAGGTACTAAGTGAACTGCCCAAGGCTGAGCCAAGACTTATAACCACCAGCAGACTCAACATTCAGATCCCTTTTGTCTACCATGTGTTCTCACACCATCCTGTCCCGTCTCAGACAAGGGCAGTGGACACAGGAGTGGGGACTATACAGAAAACTTGTTCTGGTGCAGAGCAAGTCTCCACGAGTTCTCAAGGACGTGTTCTTGCTTCCCAGGAGAGGTTATCAGGATGAACCATGCGATGTGGGAACCTCTGGCCTCATATCACACAGCCATTAATTCAGATGGATCATGGTCAAGGAACAGGGGAGGGGACAAAGGCACAGGGGAATGAGGTGCACCATGGAAAGGAAACTCTTTTACCTGTTTAAGAAGTCTCTGGTGTCCTGGAAGGGAAGAAAGTACAAGAGTCAATGTGAATCAAAGAAGACTTCATTCATATGTACCAACACTTAAGGACCAGGACACATCAGTGAACAAAACAAATGCGGTTCTTCCTTATGGAAATGACATTCTAGTGGCAGCAATGGATAAAACAAAAAGAAAACAAACAAAATAATCACAATGACAGAGCAAATTAGGGGGGACGGTAGAAGGGGATGACAGGCCAGCTTCTCTGAGAGGATGACACTTGTGCTGAGATTTGAAGAACTCAGTACTGGCCAAGTGAAGAATGGGAGGAAAGCAAGGTGGGAAAGGGCATGGGAAAGGGCTTGGCAAAGGGGGCAGGGGCCATATCATGCAGGGCTGGACAGATATATAGCAAGGAGTTCAAATTTTGTTCTATATTCAGTAGAAAGCCACCAAAGTGTTTCAAGTAGGGGAGTGATGTATGTGATCTGCTTTTCAAGTGGCTGAGACTGCTAAGTATCCTCCAGGATCTAGTCTCCCCTTCTTCCTTTTAGTAATAGAACCTGTGGAGTAATAGCTGGGCAGAGGGCCACCCAACAGAAAACTACACTTCCCAGATTCCCTTGTAACCAGGTCTGGTCATGTGACTAAGCTCCAGCCAATAGGATGCGAAAGGAAGCAATGACTATAATTTTGGGGTCACATCCTTTAAAAAAAGAAATTCCATTCTACTTCCTCTTTTTCCTTGGCTCAGTTTTGGATATGATGGTGAGCCCAACTTTGACAAAACAGCTGAGGACAACGTCCCTTGAGGTTAGTGAAACAACCAGATGGAAGTAACCAGCTTTCTGGATGACCTCATGGACAGCTGCCCTGACAGCTCTAGACCCCTCATGTCTGAACTGTTTCTGGGAGGGAAATAACTTGTTTGATATAGTCGCTAGCCAAAATCCCAAGTGATCAATCACTTGGGCATCCTGTACAGAATGGATTAAGAGAGGCAACGCCAACATCAGGGGGCAGTCTGGAGGCTGTTTATGGACCTGGCAAGAGATAATGATGCCCTGACTAGGGCAGTACAGTGAAGCCAGGGAAGCAGCATATTCTAGGTATGTTTGAGACAGACTGGGCATACTGGTGAAAGATAATCAAGGACAGGCCACGGCTTGCACAGGAGGGAGGATGGTGCTATCTGAGTGATAGGAGGGGGTAGAATGGGGAGGAGGTTCTTGCAAGATACTGGTTATTTCCCTTTTTATAAGTCTAAATCCTCCATAATACTCTATAGTAATTTTTGCCTTCCTTTTACTCATCCCACAAATTTTAAGTGCTTCTTATGTGTCAGACACCACTCTAGAAGCCTGAGATAGAGCAGGAAAAAAAAAAAAAGAGACAGAGACACATACAAATCCCTAGCAGCGGGAAGCAGCAAAGAATCAACATAACAGATCTATTATATGATGCTATTAAGTGATAGGTGCTATAGGAAGAAGACAGTAGTGTGGAGGGGGACTGGGTAAGGGTGGGGACAGAGTGACCTCTTTGAGAGAGTGGGATTTGGGAAACAAATGGAATCGCCAAACTGTGGCTGCTGCGGACTGTTTCACCAAGTCTCAGGAACAACTGGGGTTTTGCTCGAGGGGAGGCCATCCAAGAGGTCAGAGCTACACCTCGCCCCCACCATGAAGCAACTGACCAGAGACTGGTTGTGAGTTGCTGGCAAATCCTTCTACTCTGTCCCTCAAAACAAGCTAAGTCCAAGCCAGCTTCAGAGAACGGGGGGACAAATCTTGAGACGGTGTATGCCAACAGCTCTGCTGGGATACGTGACATAAAAAGGCAAATAAATGGGCAGTAGGTGGGTGCAGTTAGGGAGCCAAGAGGGCATATTTTGTGATACAGGAGCTGCTAGAACAGAGAGAGAATGAGGCCCATCTAAGGACTGAAGGTTTTGAGTGGCCCAGAGAGGGTGGGACCCGGAGCACCAGTACAGGAACCCTTCTCTCAAAGGATGCAGAATGGGAGACCGGGGAGTACCGAGGCGACCTGCAGCCCCATACACTGGGCCTCCAGAGGGACGCAACCTGCTCAAGGCTCCTGGAGGGCCTCTCACCCCCCGACTCCTGGGGCTGTGGTGAAAGAGGCAGTCAGAGCAGAGAAGCTGGGGCAGGAATCACAGCAATGCTGGGTATTAAGAACCCTAAGGTTCTTCATGGGTGTGGATGGTGACCGACAGTGGAACAGGCAGAGGTACGACCTGCCACCAGACCCTGCAAGGCCTGGCCAGGGCTGAACCAGGGGGGCTTCATAATTCCCTCCAGAGGGGCTCTCCTACCCCCTAGTTCCCTTTATTGTCTTCCTGATAGTCCCAGTCCAGTTTCCTTTTCTATCACCTTTGTCAAAAGGCCTCTGTTTCTCTGTGTCTTTTTTTTTTTTTTTTTTTTTGCCACACCACATGTCTTATGGGATTTTTAGTTCCCCAACCAGGGTTCGAACCCGGGCCCTAGGCAGTGAGAGCGCCAAGTCCCAACCACTGGACCACCAGGGAATTCCCTGTTTATATCTCTCACCCTGTTGCTTCTCTCTCTCACCTGTATTTCTCTACCAGACTTTTAGATCAGGGCCCCTATCTTAGTAGGGCCTCATCTTTACTCTCCATTGACAATCAACTAATCTCTGGTAAAATACTAATGACAGTTCAGGAGTGAGTGGTCCAGTTCCCTTGCAGCAAAAGCAAACCCAAACAAAACACACAGACAAACCCACCAGCACCAACATTTCCTTTACTGACTTTCAGCAGACACCCACCTTCTCTCCTTTCCCTCCTCCCACCTGGCCCCAGGGACGTCTTCAATCTGAGTGGTCTCAGAGGCACTGAAGGCTGGGCCTCTGCTGGCCCACAAAGCTCTTCTGGGCAGACCGCAGAGAGGCTCCCCTCCAGGCAGACACGGCTGGATCTCAGCCCCCCCAGTACCCCAGCTATGTCCCCGCTCTGTTCCACAGCAAGTACACATCCACATGGTGGCAGCGGCTGTGGGGAAAGGAAGGATGCGCACTCCTGGAGAGGGGGGAGGGGGTAGAGAGGCAGCAAGTGACCCAGTCAGAGTCTGAGAGAGAAATTCTAGGCAACAGAATGACTTCTGGAGGAAAGGAAGGAACCAGAGAGACATTCTGGACAAAGTGAGAGAAAAGAAGAGCAAGAGGCCGGAGGCCTGTGAGTCAGGACACCCGAGCTGGAGCTCTGACGTGATTCCTGACCTGCCCCATGGCCTGGGACAAACTCTTCCTCTCTCTGGTCGTCGGGGACTTCATCAGCGGGGGCTCGACCGGAAGAGTTCTAAGTCCCCGCCAGTCCCGAGGCATGAGTCAGAATCTGCAATGATGGAGAGGCAGGCAGAGGCTACCTGTGCCGGCCCGTGTACCCAGCGGACTCGCCATCTCTCCCCAGCATCCCACCTCTGACTCGCCCTGCCACTGGCCAGGGACAGCACTTCCCTAGAGGAGGTCCTGGGCGGTTCCGCTGCCGGCCAGCAGCCCCACCATGCAAGCGGAGGAGCTCATCACACAGGCCTTCTCCTGGCCTGCAAGGGCAGAAAGATCGAGCATGCTCCCTCCAAAGGCCGCTGAGCCCTGTTTAAGGCAGTGTGACTCCTCTGAGAGGCTTGGGGTGGAAGAAGCTGTGGTGTCATTTCAATGTGGCAGCCTTTTCTCCAATCCATGACCCTTCCTTTCTCGGGGCCAAAGCTGCCTCTTCCGGGAGGTGTTCCAGAGGCCCCCTGCCTGCTCTCCACCGTATTCTCTGACGCTGATTCCACAGACCCAGAGAAAACCTCTGCCTTCGAGAAGTCTCCCTTCCCCAGCTACCCATCTCCTCCAGACCCTCTGGGTTCTTGACAGAAGCCACACTCAGCCCTCCCTCAGTGACCCCTGACCCCACAGGCTTCTTCATCTCCAGAACCATAAACAGCTTCCCCTGGACCAGTGTCTGCCAATGACTTGTTAGAAGACAGGCTCGTGATGGTAGTGATGAGCATGGAGGACAGTAACGAAAATACTAATAACCTTCTCTTCCATTTCCTCAACACTTTTCAAAATTTTAAACTCTTTCATGTAGAAAATTTACTTTTTGAAGTGACAACATGCCAGTTATTTTATGCTCATGCAATCACTGCAATAAGTGGTGAGGATAAAGATTATCATCTCCATGCTTCAGATCAGAAAACTGAGGCCCCGAGAAGAAGTGACTCTCCAAAGGTCCTGTAAGTGAGTGGCAGAGGGCCAAGACCTGCTGTCCTGGTCTCCCGGCTCCCTGCCCCAGGGAGGTCTCTCACCTGCATGAGCTCTGCAGCCGGCTGCTGTGCCTTGCCCTCCAGCTCGGAGATGACCAGCGCCAGCCGGGTAAGCTCCCCGACGCCCCTGGCCTTGTACTTCTCCCTGCCCTCTGTGAGCTCCTGCTCCAGCTTCGCCAGCTGGTCCAGCAGGCGCTGCTCCCGCTCCCTCAGGAACTGGTGGCCCTGCTCAAACTCAGCCACGATGCACTGCCTCTGGTCCTGGAGCTTCTTCTGCAGGGGTGGGAAGGGGGAGAAGGGGGTGACACCTCCGCCCCGGGGTAGAAGATCCCTCCAGGGTCTGGTGTAGGGGTGCACAGGCTGGCTCTTTGCCTCTTGTGCCCCTCGCTGACCCCATTCATGAATTCTACAGTGTTTGGGCTGGAAGGGGCTTTAGAGCTCTCCTGTGGCAACCTCCTTTCCTCAAAGAGGACACGGTAAGTCAGTCAGGTCAGTTCCCTCAGACACCATGGGATTGGAACCCTGACTGCCTGCCATTATCTGTTCTAGGTAAACCAGTATGTTCTGGGGCCCTTTGAGGAACATTATGAGCAAACACATTTTCCCCTCCTGGACACCAATCGCCGTGTGCTGCCTCTTCCAGGAAGTTTTCCTTGATTAATTTTATCCAAGCCTGACCAATCCTCTCTTCAGCATCCTCCCCATTATGTGTAAAATATCTGCGTGTACCCCATCCCTGCCATGTAGGACTACATCCTCTTCCCTCAGTGAAACTGTGGAACATCTATGCTCAGGGACCATATCCTTTCTTGCCCCCAAGTCTCCCTGCCAAGTCCAGGCTGGGATCTGGTCAGCATCCTCGCACACTGAGCACCTGGAGGCACTCCTTGGATTGGGCCGTCTCCTGCTTCACTCTGTCCCTCTCCCAGGGCCTAACTGCTCACCACCGGGACTGGCCCCAGCATCCCTCCACCCTCCAATGCCCACTTCCCCAACAGACGTTCCCCCAGAAAACTGGAACCTCTTATCAGTTTTTCCCCTCTGATCCCATCTCTCATCAAGCACACAACGCGCTGCCTGTTTCCAAACTACTGGCAACCACAGGCGCAGGACTCGCTAGACAGTGTCTTCAGAGCTGGTCGGGCCTTGCCTAGCCCACCCCTCTCACTTCTCGTCCTGAAGCCAGCTCGCTCCTTCCAAACCCCCTGCTCCCCTAACTCTCAGGAACCATGTCTTTCTCCCTCTCTTTGAAAGGAAGAATGAAGCCAGGCCTTCCTCAGTTCCCTACA